TTTGATCTTAGTGTTAATCATCTCTGCGGCTTCTAAAACAAGTTTTGGCCATCTGTTCGGGTCCATCTGTTTTATCTTCTCGAAGTATATCACTTTGCTGATGGTTTCCCGGGCGTCAAACGAACTCCAGCCGAGTTCACCTTCGATGAATTCTTTGGCTATTGTGGAGTTGGGAATGCCAAGGGCCCATCTCCCCGCGTCTCGCTGCCTGACTTCGATGTGGTTTCTCAGTCTTTTTGGCATAGTTATGACTGTATTGCAGTACGTGAGTTGCGGTACGGCTGTAGTTTTCCAGAGAACTTTGGAGACTTCGAATCTATTGAAGCTCCAGAGGGTTCTCGCGTTGAGTCTCTGTATTGCTTGGTTGGCTTTTTCGGACATTTTGTCCCAAAGCTGGGACAGATAGTCGTCGTCTGCCGATAAAACAACTCCTAGATATTTGTAGGAATCCACCTTTGGTATTGGAAGTCCCTGTATCTCAAGAGTTTTATCTTCGGAATGGTCGTTTGGTGGTCGAGAGAAGACCATGACTCCGCTCTTCTCAGGGTTGAATTTGATAGACATATCATCCCCAAATCTAGTTGTTACTTCTAGGAGCGCTTCCATATCCGCGATTTTGTTTGCCATCAAGACTAGGTCGTCGGCGAATAACAAACCTGGGATCTTGAAGAATTTCTTCTCTTTCGGTCCCAGTAGTTGCCTCTCATCGAGAACCTGAAGCCGAGCCCTGTTGCCAGGAGTTCATTTTCTAGGTTCGCTAAGTTTAGGCTGAAGAGAGTGCTGGAGAGAGGACATCCCTGTCGAAGACCATCGGTGATGGATATCTCGTCAGAGGTATGGTCCCCATGTTTGAGAAATACTCTTGTATCCTCGTACATGTATTTTACTGGTGGTCTGCGCCGTCGCGCGCGCGGTCAGATTAGAGCTCGTCCCGGATCTCAGTACGTATGAGTTTTTGATCGCGCTGAGGCGCTTCATAGCCAGAAATCCGGCAGTTGTCCGTATTGTATCGGATAACGCGAAAACTTTCAAGAAGGCGAACAATGAGCTGAACGTTCTATTCGACCGCGTTAAGGCTCCGGAGACGCGTTCTCTGCTGACGAGCAAACGCAGAGTATGGCAATTCTCAACAGAAAAGGCACCTTGGCAAGGTGGCTTCTGGGAGAGAATGGTACAGACGGTGAAGCGGCCGCTAAGGAAAATCTTGGGAGTGCACTGTCTGAAATTTCGCGAGCTAGAAACGGTCCTGACTGAAATGGAGAAGATAGTTAACGATCGGCCCATCTCGGCAGTCGTGACGGACCCCAATGAACCGCGAGCTCTGTCACCATCAGACCTCCTGTACGTCACGTCATCATCAAATGGTGCGGCAGCTCTTTGAAGGCACTCCCGAGTTTTTGCTTAGACTCCCAAATCGGGGCGGTGTGTACCAAGGCCAGAGCAATCATCGGAAGCATAGTGTCCCCGTGCATCGACTGCCGTCTGAAATCCCTGGTCTTACGCCGAAATCAGGCCGAAACCCAGCCTTCTCCCTCGGCTGTTTTCCGTTTTGTGGATCGAATTTCTCGTCGATACGGCACCGCTGAGGGCCTGTGTGGGCTCTTGGAACAGCCGGGGCCGGCGGCTGGCAGCCAGCATGCAGACTCGTGCAGCGAAGAGACTGAGGGAGTGTATCGAGGATAGCCCCACGGAGGCTCATGTTTCCGGGGACCCCCAGAAGTTGAATGGTGAGAACGAAGAGGACTCTGGGGCTGAGTGGATTGAGGTTCGGAGCAGGGAGACGGCGAAGAGGATCGCGGGGGCTCGACGTGAGCTGGATGCTCTCCGAAGTCGCATCAGCAAGAACCGGGAAGGTGTTTTCTGTGTGGTTTTCTCCCGAGTGGAGAAGAGATGTGGTGACGACGGTGTGTGGTACGACCAGCCAGTCCCGATGTGCAACGGAATCCTTCCAATCTGTGAGGAGATTTGTAAGCTATGCCCCTTCGCGAAACCGACTTCACGAGATGGAAGTATAAAAGCATGGGCCAAAACGACGGAGGAGGCCGAACAGCTGCTCAAGAGTCAAGACTCTTGGTGGCGAGCCGGTCAGGGCGGTCTGTCGAGGCCTGAGCCAGATATGGGCGAGGATAACCCGCGTTGACCGGGGCTTCTCCGATGCTGATATACTCCTCGCACTGACAGGTTCGGGGGTGGTCGAAGTACGACGCGAGACAACCAAAACAAGGAACGCAGGCATCCTCGAGTCGTTCCCCACCGATCGAGTACTGCTCAGGTTCTCGAAAGTGCCACCCGCGGAGGTACAATTGGCTGGACGCTCGTACAGAGTCATCCTGCACGCTGGGAGGCCACTGGCCTGTTTCAAATGCCAGAAACTGGGGCACATTGCGAGCAACTGCAAGAACGAGGCGGTTTGCAGACGGTGCGGAAAACAGGAGCATATGGCAGCTCAATGTACGAATACGGCCCGATGTGTAAATTGTAAGGGGCCCCATCCCTCAAATTCCCCATCATGTCCATCGAGAGCATGTGCGATGGAGAGAAGGAAGGCCCTTCTAGAAAATCAGGTCATCCAACAGCTGAGATCGTCCCATCCAAAAGCGAACATCGACACCATCATCGAGGTAGCTGACCCGCCCACGGTTCCACCCAGAAAGCCACAAGAGGCGCTCGGCGACTCGAGCCTCAAGTCCTATGCGTCGATTGTGGCCGCCCGAGCGGTAGTTGTGGACTCCGGAGAAGGGGAAAAGTTCAGTGTCAACTTGCCGTTACCGACATCCATCCCGAAACGAAAGAAGACGAGCTGCAGACCCAAGAAGCGGGCGGCCACTCACCGAAGAGTCATCACGAAGCCCACCTCCAAGAAAGGATTGCGAAGAGGCACGAATATAACGAGAGGCTCAACACAGAAGATGAGCTCAATCGGAAATCTTACACCACTAATTGCGGTCATCAAGGTTCTGTGTCCCCAGGCGGCTGAACAGCTCACGCAGCTATGGAACACTCTGCAGCCACTCATCTCGGTTGTCTGTGGCTCGTTGGGCCCTAAGGCGGAGCGCTCGAACGTAAAGAACTCATCATGATTCCCACGAATAATAAGACTCGCTCGGACTCAATGTTCATAAACTGTGATATAAATAGCTCTCTGGTATTTCCCTCTATCGACAACGTTCGGGACTGCGTCGGAGTCGACAACATCTCAAAGTCATTTAGTAGTTTTGCAGTTCTACATCTCAATGCTGGGTCGGGAGGTCTCCGAAAATCTGGGCAGTTGGAGCTGATAGCCGATCTTCTCCACGGCGAGGGAGCCGATCTCGACGTTCTAGTGGTTAGTGAAACCTGGCTCAAGGAGCACGAGGTCCAAAGCTATGCAATTCCTGATTTCTCTCTTTTTACAGTCTGCAGGGGTGGGTCGTCGCGGGGCGGCGGCGTTGGGATTTTCGTTCGCTCATCATGTACCGTCCTCTCAATCGTGTCTCGGTCCAGTTCGGATGGTCGGATTCAGGTGCTCAGTCTCCGGATCAAAAAGCTGGCGAACGAGTTCTGTGTTATTGGCCTTTACTCCGCTAGCTTCCTTCTCGCGAGAGAGCTCCTTTCGGAGCTCGACGAAATTGTTGGGAGTAATTCAAGTCTTCCCTGTATCATAACCGGTGACTCTAATATCGATCTGCTCTCGGCTTCTCGGTGTTCCGAATACCTCGAGTACCTAGGTTCTCATGGCTTTCAGCAATTGGTGAATATTGCTACCAGGCCGGCCTCGGGCTCCTGTATTGACCACATTGCGGTCAGGGGTTGCGAGAACTTCTTGGAGGTTGCTCCTTTCGTCTGGAGCACCCCAGTCTTCTCTGATCACTTTCCGGTGTTTGTCAGACTATCCGGTCTTCCGCTCCGTGATGCTCCCCAGACTCCTCTCCCCACGCAGAGGCTGATCAGATCCCATGATCCAAGCAACGTTCAAGTATTTATTGATAGGATTGCGGGGCTGGACTGGGTTGATGTCAATGGCTGCGTCGACACCGATGCTGCTCTTGATACTTTCCGCCGTTTGCTGATTAGCAATTACGAAAAATGTTTCCCGCTGTCTCCCCCCCTCCTCCCGGTAGAAGATACAGGGGCTTCTCCTTCAGTGAAGGTCTTCGCAAGCTTCGCTCAAATGTCAACAAGCTGTTCAAATGGTATCGTAAATTTCCCTCCGATGTGTCG